CGTGACTTCATGTTTCGGTGTGGGTGGATGACCATGATCTCATTTCCTGCCACGTGAACGCCTCAAACATAACTGTGCAAACTGTAAACAATAGATAGAAGATGGCAAAATGACACTACATTGCCAAAGAAGACATTCCGATGTTTGGAACAGATCGAGCACCTTGGCCACCTTGGATGGAGGGGTTGCTAAAGCTGGAGCTGTCTCTCCATGTAGGTTTGTTGGCAATTCCTCTTGACTGCCGCTGACACACTGGGACGCACGCAATGCAAGTGGCGTCGCGTACACATGCAAGCACGTTGCAAGCGGGGAACCCCTGAAGCGGAACTTCAACTTGCTTTCTTCAACACGCTTCCCTCCATCACTTGAACTCCCAATGGTGGCATGTCCTTAGAGATTCAGAGTGCTGCCTCAAGCAGGCGAGTCAATGCGCTATGGTCCCCACCTTAGATGCTTGAGCGTATATGCTTTATTGCTTGACACAGCACCCATGTTTCTGGTCTTCCCGTAGAGCTCTTACACGAAGAGACGTTTCTTGCGCAAGCTGCCGTCTGCCTCTGGTGCCACGCGAAGAAATGCATCCAACTTGTCTTCCAACAGGCCGTTAACAGCTCCTGTCAGGTTTTCATGAGGCGGGTGGTCGAGTTCACAAGGTTCTGATCTGATCGTCTATGTTGACAACCAGTCCTGCAAAGCGTTCTGTTTGGCGCTTGATCATGAAGTATGTTGCCATGCAAACAACCTTGGTGACCATTCACACAAAGCCCTTCTTTTCCCAGTTGGAGTTTGCTGACTTTGTGGACATGCATGGGCCAGTAGGATCCGAAGAGTGGGATCGAACCATGGCGACAGAGGGGATGAAGGCCCAGGTGAGCGTGTCGGACAGTGGGAGGTGCCGATGTTTCACGCACATGGGTGAAACGTATTGCACTCCTTCTCATGATGATGCCGATGCCAGCTGAAGCTGTCACTACTGCTTACAGTTCTCGGTCGTGGGTGTGCAGCATTGTTATTTTCTTGGTATGCCTTGCATTTTGCTTGGGCAGTGAGACCAAGCGAGATGATGGCGATGGATGGTTATTTATTTCACAGCACGGCAAGGCAGTTGAACTGTCGTGGGGCATTGTATGCCATTGCGGGATTGTTTCCAGCTATGTTTCTTGGAGTCTTGGGTTACAGGGCTCTGGTGTTGGTGTGGAGGCTGAGATGAACCCACGACTTAAACCTGATGCCGACCGTCATCATTCTTGTGATGCTGACCATGAGGGTCAAGAAGCCCCACTGGCCGATGTCCAGCGAAAGCGGATGCTTCATACGTGTCAATCGTGATCTTGCAAGACAGTTGGAACAGGCGCGGCGCGAACCGTGGACTGGAGACAGAGCTCATTCGAGCTCGTGAGCGTGCAGGACCACCTGCACGAGTTGTGACTTTAGCCCGAGGCGGCGTTCCATCATGAGAATTGCCACGTACATCAGAACAATCCGAACAATGTGTTGACTCCTTGCAGCGACTGTCAGCATATGTTCTTTGAGTGAGCAGCCTTACGGACGGAGATCCAGCTGCATATGGAATGCTGAGAGCCACTTGCGGATGCCATGCTTTACGGTTTCCAGGCTCGTTTCACTTGAGGTTTCGGTGAGTTTCGTTGTAGTGTACAGACGAATCTCAGGCGGGGTGAGGAAACCTAACATCTCTGCCCTTTGAACACACCTCATGTATAGGAAAAAATGTTTTCACTTGACTTTGGCATGAGTCCAATTTCATGAGAACATGTTGTGAATTGCAGAACTCCGCCGAACCACCAGGCTCTAAGAGTAGTGGAAAAGTCCGCTTGGTTTTTCAGTTTCTCTGGCTGGAGCAAGCTCAGCCAGGGAAGAAGCCCAGCGGCAGGCTTTGGTTAGTTTAGGGACCACAGAAAGGGCTGACGGACGCGCCAGAGTGTGGAGGTAAAAGGCTATGGCTCGCTGCCCGAGAGCCTTCCCACCTGAGATGCCCAAACCAACCTGGCCCTCCCTGCGTGCAAGTGTCATGGGTTCCTTTTGGAGCCGTGAGGTAGGGCCAGTTAGTAAGAGCGAGAAAGCTGGTCCGTTCCTGCCTGGTGAGTAAGTGCGAGAAAGCCAGGGCAGCCGCCGTGGCAAACAGGAACTCAGTGCTGCTGTGGCTTGGGTTTCTGGGGTCTAGGTTAGTAAGCGCGACTCCGGAGGTTGGCGACGAGGCCAAGTCACTTGTGTGCAGTAGACGTACAGGCAAAGCCCACGTGTAGGCTCCAGACCTTTGCCTTCTCTGAGTGAGCCGAGGGTGGGTGAGTTTCTCCCCTGTATACAGGCAGGGCCGATAGGGTAGGCCGTACAGACCAGGCAGTTCAACCTGCAGAACAATTTGTCTAGGGCTCTGTACAGTGCCAAGCCAGTGAGTTTCTGTAGGCCGCTGAGATTCTCGCGTAACTGGTTAAGCCCTTAATTCTTCTCTCGGTGCTCCCCGCACATAGTTCGGCCGTGTTTAGCAGGCCAAGGACACCCAGAGAGTTTATCATTGTTTCTGTGCATAGTTTCACCTTTTCCGGAACTTCTAACCTGGCTAGCGACGCAGTCCGCTTTCGAGTGAAATTCAAACCCAATTTTCGAGTCTGTGCCACCAGATCTACGGTCTGGAATTGCCATGACATGACTTGTGCATGTTTCGATGGTGATTTGAATCTCAAAGTAGGTATGGTGTGCCTGTACATAGTTTTTGGGATGTGATGAAAGTCGTTCGTTTGTCGTTTGACGTTGTCCGTTTATTTCCCGAACCATAATCAACTGAGACAACAGTTTTCTCTTCGAAGTAAGTGCCTGTTGACTGTAGGCAAGTGTAGGAAAGTGTAGACAGCTGGTAGAACAGGTCTGCTGAGAGTTTTGGTAAGGCTAGAAAGTATGTAAAGTGACTTGTTCTTGCTTTGCCTTGAACCTGAAGGTCCTCAGCATGCCTGGAAGCCTGCATTGAGTGTTTGAAGCCGCGTCTGCTCTGTGGCTCAAGATGAACTGTGGCTCAAGGTGAGCTGTGTCTCAAGTGACGAGCTCAAGAAGCCTAGCTCAAGGCTAAAGGCCGAGGAGCTTCTGCAAACGTCTTTCGCTAGAAGGTGAAAAGGTGTGGTGTGCTTGCTTACTGTGCGGGTTGTGGGGTTTGGTAGTCCTGGTTTCTCCCTGACCATAGGGGTACAGGGTTTCTTAGGCTGCTTTGCGTTTCTACGGCTCCAATCATTGGAAAGGCTCGTTTTCACCAACGTGCACGTAAACACAATTCGCAGCATTTTTCCCGTCCTACCTTTATCGTGTAACATGACTACTACAGTGCTTTTACCACAACACAGCAACAAACAGGAACTCGACAAGGACGTCCACTATCTCCATGTTGATTTTGTGTATTTCTGGAATGCATAAATCATGATGTAGGACTGTTCAGAATGCCAAGCTTCCAGGCCTTGACTTCAATAGCACGCGCACGCAATGAGCTCCCTCTCCCTCCCCAGAGGAAACGATATGCAATATTTGGGTCCCCTGATTATTCTGGTCCATTTTTGTCTTGATTATGCCGGTCCATTTTTTTTGCGTTTGTTTTTTGTGTCCGGTTCACAAGTAGAGAAATTTGAGGTTTTCGCATGAAAATATGTCGAGGAAATAGAGAGGTTAGAAGAAAGAGGAAACATAGGCCCCCTTGCTAAAGTATAAAGAAAATTGATGCTGTTTTCCTTTTGAATACAAGGCTTAAGACGACAGCCAAGCCTGCAGAAAGGAAGGAAAACTTGACACCGGCTGATCAAGATTGGTTCTTATCTTAAACGCTAAGCCCTCAACTCTCTGATTTCCTAAAGCTCTGCATGTTTGCCTGGTGCTCGTGGTTCGCAGCTGCTAGCAGAGGGTCAATTTTCAAAGCAGACGCTGCGCAGCCCTCTCATCAGATTCCATGAAGCCCTCGCGAAGACTCTGCGAGAGGTCGGCCCTTCCATGAAGTGAGCCACAATCCAAAAGCTCGACCACCCAGAAGCCCCCGGGTGCAAGAGCTCGAGTCCATTTTGCTGGGAGGTGAGCGTCGCAACCTGGAAAAAGCGCGGCAGAGAGAAAGAGAGAGAGGAAACAGCAACGAACACCCCGAAACCCGAAAACAGCCAGGTCTTGGTCGCGAACCCCCAAAGTCTGGGAGCCGAGACTCCGTCGGGGGACCCGGCATGCGTGGGCCGTTCTCGTGGCTCTTTCTTGGGAGGCTTTATGGCGTCGTATTTTCTAAAGGGGAGAGTTCATGTTTAGAGTTTAGGTTCTCTTTTGCTTTGTTTGGGGTTTGGGGCGTTACTCTTCTTTCAAAGAGGGAGGTGGGGTTAGGCTTGTGGGTAGGGCTTTAGAAGCGGCTCAGCAAGAACCAACCCAAACTTGATACAATCTCTGACTCGGCAGTTGCTTTTGGGACAACTCCGAGGAGGCCGCAGCTTCGGGTTTCGGGGTCTGGCTGGGAGGGGGGGGGAATTCAAGTTTAAGTTTAGCGGGCTTCAGGGGATTGAGCTAAGAAAAAAGGTCATTTCTGGGGCGAGGCTTTCCCCTTGCCCTGTGTCCCTGAATACACAAGGTACTCCACCGGGGAACTCTTTTCCTGAAGTAGTCCTTAACTTGAAAGGTAACTCCGCTTGTGCTTTTTTTTGTCCGTGGTCATCTTTTTCGTTACCGCCCGAACTGGGTTTGGGACTCTATGAGCAAAACCTTTAGATCGTTGTCATTATGTTAGCTCCGCCTGTCTTAGGTCAAGCCAACGTCGTCCTGAATCCGTCCCATTCATCAAAATCCAGAAAGGGCACAGGCCTTTGCTGCATGTAGAACTTGATGGAGACCACAATCTCTCATGTACTGTAATTGTCATGCAATAATTGCTATGCATAATGGATGTGTCAGGTCAGCAAGAGCCGCTTCATCCTGTGCCGTAGCCTCTGTTGGCTCAATCCTGAGGCAAGTCGTTTGCCAACTGCGTGTAGTCTATGTTAATTCTTCGAACCATCCACGCTGCCACAGCTTCGATTGTCCTTGCTGTGCTCATCTTCCTGGCCCTGGGAGAGAAGGTCCTCTCCGTACGGCCATACAGTGCCTTTGACGATGGCGCGGGATTCGCTGCGAAAGAAGATCTGAGCACTACCCAGCTTCCAGCGAATCAGGACTCGACAGAGTCCGAGTCAGAGCAGTCCACGAATGATGATCCACGAAACGGCAAGAGTGGGAATAAAGTCACCGAGGTGGAAGCAACGTTGAAAGATCCCACAGACGGCCAAATGGCCGGTGGACACGTGACCGAGGTCACAGTTGAAGAAAAGTTCTGGGCAGGTGACCCACCCGGTGTAAAGCTTGCTTACCATCGAGGGTTTGGAAGCCGGATCATAGAATGGTCTCCAAACGGGTCCTGGAGCAAGACTCGGTCACTGCTTGACAAGAGGCCCGGTGAGGTGTTTGTGAAAGCCATCGGTGGCACAAACGTGCAGGATGTGGATCCTCAGGTTGTCACAGAGCTTTGGGCAGCGCGTGTCAATGGGACTAGTTCCTACACTGTGAGCTTCACTTCAGAGCCTCCAAAGGTGACACCTGCTCTCTATGTCATTCTTTGCACGTTGCCATGGTGTTTGGCCACTTGTATTGCTTGCTGCACCTTGCCATGCGCAATCCAGCAAATTTACACCGGAAGTGCGTTGGCGGAAGTGGGCACAGTTGTTGAAGAGTCAGCCCAGGAGCCTGTGCCGAGACTTTCGGTTACCTGGATGTCTCATCTGGTCGAGCATGATGTGACAAGGTGGAGCCTCCTTGGCTTTGGTGTTGGCAGTGTCTTGTTGTCGATGCGCACATATGCTTGTGTGCTTGTCATGGCGCCAACAACCAGTGCAATTATTGTCGCATCGGAGGTGCAGCTTGGTGCACTTACCTTTTTCGTGGCTGCCGGGGTCAGGGCGACGAAGGCAAACCCACTCCTCGCTTCGGGCTCTATGTGTCCTCAAGGACTAACAAAGAGGTTGAGCAAGCAGCTCAAGTATGTGCTTCTATCACTGTCGCCAATGTTGACATTTGTGTACTTGGCTTTGATGGCATGGCCGGCTCTAGTTTGTTATATAATTATTTACGGCCTCTCCAGCTTGGAAGCTCTCGCCGAGTACTACGATATCCTTTTCATTGGCCCGTACTTGTTGATATTTGTCGCGCTCCCACACTTCCTGATCAATTCACACATCCTGGCCAAAGTCGTAGAAGCTCATGTTCGGGCAGCGACGCAAAAAGTTGAGGATATACTCCACCTGGAGAGCCAAAACAAGGGGGATGGCATGAAACAATTGAAGCCCAAGTTGAAGGAGATACACGAGGCTTGCATCGGCTTGCGCGTGAAGGTGCTTCCAAACTTGGAGTGCATCGTTGTGCCCACTCTTGGCTTTGCAGCCTGCAGTTGGGGCTTGGTGCTGATGAACATCATCGAGTTCCTCAGTGGGCATCTGGAAGACTTCGGACACGGCACGATAGGGATCGGCGTACTTGTGGCCCAGTTCCTCTTAGTGTTCCTGATATTCTTGCCTTTGGGAGTGAATTGCTTGTTGCCCCCTGCATCTGTATCAGATGCTTTCGACCACCTGCTGGAGGCATTGAACGCGCTGCGGACCCTGGATGGCATGGAAGATGACGCCCAAGTCCGACTCACCGCAACTAGATCAGTTTCGGCTTTAGGGCTTAGGGCTTTAGAAAACTTCTGACTAGGTGATCCACCTCATCTTTCCTTAAGCGCTTCGACGATGCCAAGGAAAGCTACATCAAGGAGTCCAACCGCGGGCAGGGTCTGGGATTCGCGTTCTTCGGGATTGTCATCAACACTCGCCTTATCAAAACAGTCTTCATTAAGATTGCTGCCTCCGCATCATTGCTCCTCTCGGCCTTCTACAGGGTCTTGGCCACCTACCGAGATGCTCGGAGGCTGCTCTATTATGTTCCTCCCTGAGGAAACATTCGATCCGAGTCTGGGCACTGAGGAAAAGAAGATCTGCAGACACATATACATGCCCGCTGCAGCGACCTGTGCCTTCTTGTCCGCTTGAGTAAGTACACAAGGATCATGATGATGCCGATACGCATGACTAGATACACTTTGCTGCAAGACATCGAGACTTCATCCAGGCAAGCAGCAGATCCCTCGCCATGTTGGCAGGGATCCTACCAGTACCGTATGAGTGTTCCCATAGACTTGCGAAACATCAGCTGGAGCCTCTTGGCAGTCGGTGTCAGGCCACGCACCGGCCCGTCGAGTATTGCGGCTGATCCAGGATGCTGTGGACAGGAAGACAAAACTTTGGGCCCGGATTCTGGTTGATTCCGTCATCTTCTCGTCTCCACTTGGTTTCTGCAGGTTGGAATGCTGACCTCTGGTCGGCGTGGGCGCTTGCCTTTCGCTTGCAGTAGCTCCGTCATCATCATTTGAGCCTAAAGCCTAAAGCTCGTAGACCTTGGTGTGTGTTGCAGTTGAAGAAGGACTTAAGGTTTCAGGCTGTTCGAAGCTTACGGTTTGGGCTCTAAAGACCTTTAACTCAAGATAGTCAACAACGTGGACCGCGCAGTGACCGCTTAGTGACCTCAAAAAGCCGTTCGCAAACCTTCGCAAATTTCTACATTTCGGATTGGTCAGCCTGTCAACATGAACGACTTGAAGCAACTTGACAAGATACACTGCCGTGGGATACTTCAGAACAGAGCTGCTTACGAACCATCCGAAATGTTGTACGAAATGACACGACCTTGACGCGATGACTCGAGTTGGCACGAATTTGCGCGAAGCAGAACGAATTGAAATAAATTGGAACGAATTGGCTGTGAAATTGACAGAACCAACGCGAAATTAGCAAAATAAATAGGAAAAAAGTTGCATGGCACGAAATTAGCACGAACTTGCATACACAAGATCATACTTTTTTCGATGAGTAAGAAAACGAGATTTCGATAAATGTTCCCTATATAACACGTGGGGGGGGGGGGTTGGCTATTTTCTACATTTCGGATTGCTCAGCTTGTCAACATGAACGACTTGAAGCAACTTGACAAGATACACTGCCGTGGGATACTTCAGAACAGAGCTGCTTACGAACCATCCGACATGTTGTACGAAATGACACGACCTTGACGCGATGACTCGAGTTGGCACGAAATTGCGCGAAGCAGAACGAATTGAAATAAATTGGAACGAATTGGCTGTGAAATTGACAGAACCAACGCGAAATTAGCAAAATAAATAGGAAAAAAGTTGCATGGCACGAAATTAGCACGAACTTGCATACACAAGATCATACTTTTTTCGATGAGTAAGAAAACAAGATAACTGACTTTCGAGGAGCAAGAAGGCAAGATAGAACTCACTGTCGATAAATGTTCCCTATAACACGCGGGGGGGGGGGGGGGGGGTGGGGTGTTTGGGGGTGGGGGAAGGGGCCTGCCCCTTGGAAGCGGCAAACGGTACGAAGAGGAGAATTCCACCCCTCATCTAGTTTTCGTTTCTTGTATTTCGTTTTTTCCAGAAGAGTAAGAATTTTTCGAAACATGTTTTGGTTTTTGACCTTCTTGAGAACTCGCGGAGAGAAATGAGCAAAAAGAGGAAGGGAGGCCTAAGGGGAGGCTTGAAGGGACGCTTGTTATGGAAACTTGAGGGGGTTAGGGGAGCTTGCGGGGGGAGGGGAACGGGCTTGAAGGAGGTTATGCGCGGGGGTCTTAAGGGAGGGGCTTCAAGGCATCGAGCCCGTTCAAAGACTTGGGATGCACTTTTTTTCCAATAGCATGTGCATCAATATACACTTCCGGCAATGAACTTGCAGGAGATCATTGTTATACTTACGCAAGATTGCAAAACCTTGTGATCAACGAAAATGCAAAGAAAACTTCAGGAAGGCAAGTGCCCTCATTAAGGTAATAGTGTGTCTGCCTCAAATAATGGTGTCACCGAGATATACATCGCTTAATTACCGCCGCACTAAGTAGAGCATAAATGAGCATCAGGGTTCCTCGAATTCGAATTCGAGGAAGCCTCTTTTCCTCAAGCCTCTTCCGCACATTTCGAACAGATCTTGCCTCCTAGCCACCACATGCTGTGTATGTCACTGCGAACAGGAGTTACGTATATCACAGGCGCAAGTGTGCAAAGCTGAGATGGAACCATCAGAATCACAAAGGTTGCGGCATTTGAGGCAAGGCTACAAATCGAGTAGTACTTCACTGTCGAGCTTGCCCTGCTTGGCCAACGACTTGAACCAAAGCCTCTAGCTTTGCTGTGATTTTTTGGAGGCGAGGTGTTTAGGATTTTCCTGATTTACACATGCCCAGATTTCATGTTGCGTTTGTTGTTTTTCTTCAGCGCTCCCATCTTAGTTGAAGAAGACGACGAAGAAGAATAAGAAGAATAAGAAGAATAAGAAGAATAAGAAGAATAAGAAGAATCAGAAGAATAAGAAGAATAAGAAGAATAAGAAGAATAAGAAGAATAAGAAGAATAAGAAGAATAAGAAGAAGAAGAAGAAGAATAAGAAGAATAAGAAGAATAAGAAGAATAAGAAGAATAAGAAGAATAAGAAGAATAAGAAGAATAAGAAGAATAAGAAGAATAAGAAGAATAAGAAGAATAAGAAGAATAAGAAGAATAAGAAGAATAAGAAGAATAAGAAGACTAAGAAGAATAAGAAGAATAAGAAGAATAGAAAAATAAGAAGAATAAGAAGAATAAGAAGAATAAGAAGAATAAGAAGAAGAAGAAGAATAAGAAGAAGAAGAAGAAGAAGAATAAGAAGAATAAGAAGAAGAAGAATAATATGAAGAATATGAAGAATATGAAGAATAAGAAGAATAAGAAGAATAAGAAGAATAAGAAGAATAAGAAGAATAAGAAGAATAAGAAGAATAAGAAGAATAAGAAGAATAAGAAGAATAAGAAGAAGAATAAGAAGAAGAAGAAGAACAAGAAGAATGAGAAGAATGAGAAGAATGAGAAGAATCAGAAGAATGAGAAGAATGAGAAGAATGAGAAGAATGAGAAGAATGAGAAGAATAAGAAGAATCAGAAGAATAAAAAGAATAAGAAGAATAAGAAGAATAAGAAGAATAAGAAGAATAAGAAGAATAAGAAGAATAAGAAGAATAAGAAGAATAAGAAGAATAAGAAGAATAAGAAGAATATGAAGAATAAGAAGAATATGAAGAATATGAAGAATAAGACAAATAAGAAGAATAAGAAGAATAAGAAGAATAAGAAGAATAAGAAGAATAAGAAGAATAAGAAGAATAAGAAGAATAAGAAGAAGAAGAATAAGAAGGCTAAGAAGGATAAGAAGAATAAGAAGAATAAAAAGAATAAGAAGAATAAGAAGAATAAGAAGAATAAGAAGAATAAGAAGAATATGATGATGATGATGATGATGATGATGATGATGCGCATCTGCAGGCGTCTTTCCAAAAGATGCGACAGTGCTGTGTGTGTCTAAGCAGCAACTGCGGGTATGTGAAGCTATGTGTATGTCTGAACATGCCTATGCGGGATTTAGTTCCTGGGCCCTTGCAGAAATGGCATCGCTTTTTGGACGTAGCGGGGATTCGACAAACAATATTATAGTGTGCAAAATTGTGACTCAACTAGGCTAGCCTCCTGAGCATGACTCTTGGAGCATGAGTGAATGCTTGTCTTGTGCCGCCGTCAATCTTGGTGGCTCCATAATAATGTCACACTGCGCCGACCTGGTGGTACCGTGGCGAAGTGGAATCTGATCTGCGAAATTGCTTCGTGTCGCTTGTGGTTCGCAGCAGTTATCTGGAATCGCACATGTGTCGCGTCTCCGCCATATAATTCGGTGCAAACTCCTCAAGGGATTTAGGGTGCAAAGCTCTACTCATTCCGGTCTGCATATCTGTTCGGCATCAAGCATCTTCACGAGTGCATTCCGTTGAATCCGTTATTGGAAGCCGTTGCTGGGCGCCATGCTCCCAAATGCGGGCTCAAGTCGTGCTTCTCGACAAAATGAACAACATGTCAGGCCATTACAGTGACAAACTGTGCCAGGCCGGGTTCAACATGTTATGACGGTAAGCAAAGAGCATGAGATGCATGGCAACGCCAGCAGATGAAGCAACAGTGGAAGCAACGCAGCTTCACGAGCTTCGGTGAGGTTCATTCTACGTGTGTTGTGAGTCTTTCTGCAGCCCCTTAGAAGTTGTATGCCTACCACATCCGCCATGTCACAGCGTCGGCGCTTGACCATAGGGTTGTGGTTGGGTCCCCGACTCGGTGCCGTGCACTTGGCTCAGCCTGCCGCCAATAAGGCAAGCATCCGGTCTTCTCCACAAAGTTCTGAGTAATGTGCTCGTAAATCAGGTGGTAAACGCTTCCAAGCTTCCAAGCCCTAGGATTCCGGGAGGCGGTCCTCCTTGAACGCGGCTGCAGGTCTTGTGCTGGTGTCGCCCAGAACATTCACAGCACCCGGCAGGCGAGGCCAGACTATTTCTTGCCCAGGTTTGCTAAAATGCGTTGCGTCATCGTTTTGCTTTCGAGGGATTTTTGCCGCATGAGGATTTGCCTCCCTCTGCATTGACATAATCCTAAACCCTAAACACTAAACCCTAAACCCTAAACCCTAAACCCTAAACCCTAAACCCTAAACCGTAAACCCTAAACCCTAAACCCTAAACCCTAAACCCTAATATTTCATGGGTCTTGGCAGTGCCGGCTCTCTGTGCAGGATTTCTCGGCAAGCAAAGGCAGGAGGCACGGACCCGATGCTGTCTTACCAAGACGAGGACTGACTCCACTACGCTCCACTGCAGTCGAAGAGCTTAAAAGTCATTACGGAAGTGGTGTAGTTTTTGTTGTTCTGCTGCAGTCGATGCCGCAGATTTATCAGCGCATGCAGGCTTAGCAGGAGTTCAAGCAGGCTCCAGGTAGGACAGCAAAGCGACAAGCGGATCCAAGGTCCAGAGCCATTGAAGTGGTGGCTGTTGCAGTGTTCTGTGGCGGAAGTTTGCAAATTTACCGAAATACAGGATCGCAATGTGGGCGCATCACCTTTTCTCCAAGCCGGTTTCGAGTGAGCTGGAATGTTCGTGGGCCCCGAGCTGGGGGATATGAGCCTTCTAGTTGTAGCGAGATTGGAGATTTGCTAGGAGTATTGGGAGCGACGCTACAGTACCGGCGACAAAGGCCGGCAGGGGCTCGAATTTGTTTGAGGGTTTTTTGACCTGTCAGTTGTCGGTAGATCATGGTCGGAGGGCCTCTTGCGGCTTGCTTTCAGCGTGGGACTCCGATTGCACAGAAGCATTGAGTTGGCTCTGAAAGAAGGAGAAAGTGGACACCCTCAACTTAGCAGCATTGTGCCTCTGTGCGAATCTGCTTTCAATGTTGGGGTTGACGATAATAGGGGTACCTTAATGGGGTCCTTTGAAACCGGGGATCCTACTATGTGGGGGTCTATAGTAGGGGTTTCGTAACCTGCAGGGGTCTGGGAAGGCGTTCACAGCGACATCATCGACGACCGGGGGGTCGGCTGGTTGTGCTCCTATGCCGGCCCGGTCCAGGACCCCCCCCGGAATGATTGCGATGCCGTCTCTCCGCAAGTTTTACACCACGAAATATGACAAAAGATCTTGTATAAAGGTCACAGCTAGTCCTCTTGTAGGTTTACTTGTGTTCTGTGGGGAGATGGCTCAGAGCAGCTCGAAGCCTCTCATCGCTCATGTGTGTCGGGTTGCCCCAGCCTCTTGGAATGCGAGGTCGCTCCTAGACCCACCCCAATCACCATAATCATTATCGAACACCGACTCCGATGGGACCTTTACATCACGCTGTTCCTGTTTGAGGTTCAGGGCGAGTTTGCACTCACCAACTTGGATTCACAGGAGACGCTGAATGCGATCACCGGCGGAGATCGTAGCAAGGTCCTCCTGAACATAGGCCCGGTTAAACCCTAAACCCTAAACCCTAAACCCTAAACCCCAAACCCTAAACCCTAAACCCTAAACCCTAAACCCTAAACCCTAAACCCTAAAATGTGATCCTTGCTAGCTATACTTATATATTGAATAATCATCATAATCATAATCATAATTATAAAAATAATAATCATAATAATAATAGTAATAACAATAATAACAATAAGATTAATATTGAAGGTTTACGGGGCTCTCCGCTGAAGTAGGTCTCCCTGGCTTGGGCCTGGCCACAGGTTGTGGAATGGACCAGCTCAGCCCTGACATCTACAAGGCGTCCTGAGAGACGTCTTTGTGTGCATCTGAAGCTCATGATGTGGACCCTCCATCACCAAGAGTTCACATTCTTGCAACGAAATATTGCCTCGCGTGCCATCATGGGCGTAAGGATGGATACACCAACTTGCTGAGTTCGGACATTTCCCGGCCACTCGTCTTTCAGGAGAGTCTGCGACCAGACTAGGACCCTCTTCGGTCCCTGGAAAGTCTTGCGTCTTGTAGGGGTTCAGGGCGTATGGTTTATAGAAGTTTATAGGGTTTTATTCCTTGTGTTTAGGGTTTAGGGTTTACAGGGTTTAGGGTTTAGGCAAGTTTAGCTAAGCTTGTTCAGTGAGACTCTGCAGGGCAGGGGAGTTGTTCAAGAAAGTTGTGGGGCTTAAGGTTTAGGGTTTTTCCCAAAATTAGGGGACCTTCTTTGGGGGGTCCTTGTCGTCAGGGAATCCTACTTGGGTGTTCATTTGAGGGTTCCCCTATTTTCGTAAACCCCCATATGGGGTTTTCGAAAAGTAGAGTCCTTTTGAAGGTCCTGATACGGGGGATAGAAAGTATATTTAGTGTACAGGGTACCCCTGATTTTAGGAAACACCCGTCTAGGAAGACACTAGAGCCCTTGCATGCAGATACCGGTGGAAAACTCACCAAAACCGATCCTTGAACAATTTTGCGACAATTACTTGGACGCTTTCCGTCCAGGGGTGTGAACCCAAGTTAATCCACCCACCAAGGAACCCTAATCCCTAATCCCTAAGCCCTTAACCCTAAACTTTCTTTCTAATTTTTTTAAACCCTAAGATGTTGATGGCTTTCTTGCAACTCCCAGGCACGCCATCGCCGAGATGGCAAAACAAACTGCCGAGGAGATGCCGCTGGCGAAATGGCGTGCTGGCTTCAAGCGGGATTAGGGCGTTAGGGGGTGGGATGTCCTCCCTATACTAACAGTCCTCAGTAGGGATTATAGTACCCCCGACAAAAATCCCTTTTAAGGACTGCTAAATAGGGATTAGGGGTTTGGGGTGAAAAGGGACCCAAGTTGAGACAACCAGGGCCGAGTTCAACGTGGGGTATAGGGATTGACTTTAGGAGTTTAGGGATGGGATGTTCCCCCTTAAACTAACAGCTCCTTAAGAGGGACTATTGTAGGGGGTTGCTATCATCCCTATTAAGGACTGCTAGTATGAGGGGGAACGTCCTAAGGTTGGGGTCTTGAGGTATCCGAAGCATCTAAACCCTACAGCCTTATTCCCTAGGTTTGTGGATGATGTCACCCGCATGAATCTGCCAGACGAGTCGGTGGACGTCGTAGTGGACAAGGCCTTCTTGATCATTTGGGGAGGTTATAGCTGGGTCAGGGTGTTCGTGTTCAGGGTTCACGGGTTTTGGGGTGTATAGTTACGTTTATCTTCAACTAAACGGCCTCCTGGCCGAACCTCCAAATACCATCGTACTTCATGCAAGTCTTGGGCCTTCGCATCTGCTTGCTTGCTGCTTGCAAGAGTCGAAGACTACACCCGCACGTGGCATGGCGTGTCAGCCTGTAAGACGTGAGCAGACTCCTCGAGCTGTATGCCTCTGACCATTGAAAGCCCATACTCATGGCCCCACACTCAAACTTGCTTGTGGGTCGTGAGGATGCTCTTGCTTCCAACCCTAAACCCTAAACCCTAAACCCTAAAACCTGAACCCTAAACCCTAAACCCTGAACCCTGAACCCTGAACCCTAAACCCTAAACCCTGAACCGCATCCCAGTCCGCCTCCCAACGCTCTTGCGCCAAAAGCAAGATGGGTAGCTCTCCAACTTGGGGTCCCCTTGGGGGTCCCCATATAATATGGCACCCGTTTAATAATCGCCTGAGACCCTCCATCTGGAAAAGGGCACCTTGGACGCCGTTCTGATCCAATCGGAGCCTTTCTTGCTGGCTGCAAGGACCCACCGGGGGAGTGTGTGTATCCCTCTCTTTCACACGCGAAGCTGCGCAGAAAGCTGGGCCCAGATAAGATGTGCTTCATGGCCAGGATGCTAAAAGAGGTGCAGCGCGTCCTCAAGGAGAGCTGTGGGGCGTTTCTGGCAAAAGCCCCGGGTTGTATTGAAGAGCATGTAGCTGCGGCAAGACATTCCATCCTTGGGGGTATGACGATGTGTGAAATCTGCGTCCGATCCTTCAGCCCGTAGTCAGTGCCACAGTTGTCCGGCATAAACTCCGAACAACCGGTGCGTGCATGCGTGCACCCTAGGCCTACTGTAGGAAACCCTAAACCCCAAACCCTAATCCCTAAACCCTAAACCCGAAACCCTCTGTGGCGAGCCTGCCTCTGGTTGTCGGGACGTGATCCGTAAAACCAAGCGGGGCCGGAATGGTGACATGACCTCGCCCCAATGCCAGCGCAAAGTCTCAGGGTTCAAAATTTGCACGCCATTCTAGTTTGATGCCGGCTGCCCAGCTCCAAGGGTAGTTATATGGGCCCTTATTATGGTCCCCTGAGTTTTGTAGGGTATACAAGAGGAACATGAGGGGCGCCCTTTCAAGGGCCCATGTTCAGGGACCATGGAACTACCCTGAGCGCAACTTCCAGCGGAGAGTGCACAGGAGGGTGGCATCTACTTTCTCATCACCCATGGGCGAGGTGGGCTAACATGAGTGAACAATGCTGGGGCTCTAGGCAAAGGGGATGGGTACTGGATCTGAGGGCATCTTCGATGCTTCACTGTAGCCTGAGAGCTCAGGGACACCATGAGTCTCGAGTTGCCTTTGCGCAATCTGGGAATTGGCGGCAAACGCACTTTCCGTGGCTGACAAGAGGTGGACACAACCCTTAGCATAGCTCCTTGCCTCCTGAACTGCCAGCCGAAGAACGACCCTAAACCCTAAACCCTAAACCCTAAACCCTAAACCCTAAACCCCAAACCCCAAACCAGAAACCCCAAACCCCAAACCCCAAACCCTAAACCCTAAACCCTAAACCCTAAACCCTAAACCGAGGTGTTTGCGGGTTCAGCGAGGGTTTCGGGGCTTCAGGAGTTGCGAGCAGGGATCTGCGTCGTGTTCTGCGGGACGTTTCGAGACGGTGGCGAGTGTGTGTGGCATGCTCAAGGCCTGGCGGAGTATGAAGACAGTGTCAGACACAAGCGCCCTAAACCCTAAACCCAAAGCCCTAAACCCTAAACCTTAAACCCTAAACCCTAAACCCGCTACCCACTAAGCCCTGAACTCTAGACCCTAAACCTTAAATCCTAAACCCTAAACCCTTAGAGAGCGCTAGACCTTGAAGAGCTCAGGTGATCCCGACACCTGGCGGCTGCCTGTCCTTACCCTGCCCCACCTCAGCTTCAACATTGCGAAGACACCAGACATGGGTGGCTACTTCATCTTCGTTCCTGGTCCCGAGAGCGTGGTAGGGTTTTGGTTTAGGAGGTTTAGGGTTTAGGGCTTAGGGCCCTAAGCGCTAAACCCTAGACGTATTCTGCTGGGGCTTAAAAGTTGGAACAGGCCAGGTAATGAACTGGAGGTTTACGAACATAGAGGACCCCTGATGTAGATTCCCACATAGTAGGATCCCCTTATCATAAGGACCCAAATAACGTACCCCGAATTCGGAACCCCCCATATCCCTGCCTCCTTACATCAAAGTCCCAGTGGGGACCGGATAATTGTGCCACAGCATTCTCTTCCGGGTCGTGACCCTGAGCCTAAGCCCACCCGACTAAACCCTAACCCCTAAACTACCCTCAACCCTAAACCCTAAACCCTAAACCCTAAACCCTAAACCCTCAACCCTAAACCCTAAACCCTAAACCCTAAACCCTCGCACCCTCGGGTGTGGAACTTTGCGGCCCGGGCTCAGGGAGCCGAGGTTTGCACCAAGCTGCCGCAGCCGGATGCTGCCGCGGCCGCGGCGCAGTGGGACGAGGAGACACCAACCCAACACCCTCACTGAGGGTTTCGGTTTAGGGTTTAGGGTTTACGGTTTAGGGTTTAGGGTTTAGGGTTTAGTGTTTAGGGATTAGGGTTTAGGGTTTAGGGGTTGGGTTTACGAATAGGGAACCCCAATATAGCTCCCCGAATAGTAGGATCCCCTTTTCATAAGGACCATTCCCCAATTTGGGAAACCCCTAAGTAGAGACTTCATAGAGACTTCAAGCGGCAAAGCTCATCCGCTCCTTGCGTTTCAAGGCAGCGGAGAAGAAGTCGTCGTAGGTTGTGTGTGTTGTGGATGCTTTTGTGCATTCGGCCTTCCGCATTTGCAAAAGTTTCGAGTGCCGGTTCGGTGTTTTGCGCGGGTGTTACGTATCGAGCAAGGAGTGAAGGGCATGAGCACCCACTTGGTGCTCAAAAGGACCACCTCAAGAAACCCCCCCTGAAGCATAGCTGTCCTAAAGATTCCTAAAGCAACCTTAAGCAACCCCCCCCCCCCTCCACTTTGAAAAAAAAAACTAATAGTTTTAGAAGGTAAGTGGAAAGCTTTGCAGGCAGAGGCTTGGGCCAAGAAGCGTGACGAGGAGGACCGCGAGGTCACTTCGCGCGAAGAAAGGTGGTTGCAAGTTGCAGGCACCCAGGGAGCGTTTGTTTCGCAATGGTGTGAAAGCCTTAGCTCGGAAAAGGAACCGTATGTAGCTGAAAACCCTAAACCCTGATGAAGGGTCTGGAGCTCTCCGCGCACTGGGGCTGGTTTTGGGCTTTTCCAGGGCTGGTTTCCCCACTACCACCTTGAATCTCCCCAACATCTTCACCCCCCCCTCCCCGCCAAAGTATCCTTACTGTAAGGGCCGAACTGAGTATCCTTAGCCCGTTCCCAGAGAGCCCAATACTTCCTAACGAAGGAATACAAACCTGCAATCATGTAGGAATGTATATTCTGATATTCTGCTGTCAGGTCGATTCCTAGATGAACGGGTCTTGGGCGCTTAGGGTTTGTAAATTCAAGACGCATATCTTTTGCAAAGGCGGTTGGGTCTGGAGGGTTCCGAAAATGGGACTGCGCCCTTCTTGGGGATTCCTGTAACAAGGATTCCAGCATTTTGGGGTCCGGGGTACCCCTATTTTGGGAAATGCCCAAGTTGCCTCAGCCTCCAGACTTAGGCAGAATATGCTGCTGTCGACGAAATTGGCCAATGAGCCAATGGGGCGTTTCGTGCATCGTGTGTGCTGACTAGAGCTTGCTTTCAATGTGGTTTCTTAGCCAAGGGATCCTGCTGCAATGGAGAAAATGCCCTGGAAGCTGTGTTCCGACACCCCAAGCTGAAAACCCGAGTTGATGTGCCAGGGTCGCCCCCAATAACCCCCAAACATGCAAACCTCCCAAGCCCCGAACTCCTAAAGCCTCCGCCCTAAACTTTAGCACCGTTTTCTCGGGAGATTGTGGTGCCCTCCGCCCAGGTCCGCTTTCGTTTCTTAGTGCCCGGGCTTGTGCAAATGATGTGCGAAGAAAACGGCGGCGAAAAGGAGCCGTGCCTTTGGGGTGTGGGTTGGGTTTCGAGGACACTAAACCCTCGACCCTAAACCCTAAGGTTCTGACTTCCAACGTTTACTGTGTAAGTGCTCGGGAGCTGGGGCCAGCTTAGTACTCATTATTAGCTCTGTCGCTTGAATTTCCTCGAAGGCCCCCGGAGTTTGAGCGTGCAACATGTTGAATTGCACACCCACGTCCAGTGGTTTTGCAGGGACAATCGCTGTGGCGTTGTGTCTGTTGCCAAGATGTGGCCTTCTGGCCATTCAACGTCCAAGGCAGTTCAGGCGATTCTTTCCTTGCTTGCCCGACCGCAGCCGTTAGAGCGCACCCTGGTATGGAGGAGGCGAGGGAACGCCTCTGCCGATCTTGCGAACTAGATGACTTTCTCTGCATTTAGGCCAGCACTAGCAGCCCTATTTCTCTGACAGTATCTGCAGCCCTTTTGCAGCATTCTAGCATACTCTTTTGGTGACACAACAGGGTGACTCTCTGGTACGGCCGAAACGCCATTTCGAGAGCCTGGGGCCTCAGAGGGATGTCTGAGAATGGGAGAAGGCGGGGTTTAACCGCAAATTCAGGTCATGATTCAGCATCCACGGGTTGAGGGTCTAGGGTTCAGGGTCTGCCCCCTAAACCCTGAACCCTGAACCCTGAACCCTGAACCCTGAACCCTGAACCCTCTACCCTAAACCCTAAACCCTAAACCCCAAACCCCAAACCCCAAACCCTAAACCCCTCGAAGCTCTTGGGTCCTCAGGAGGATGTCTGTGGCACCAAGGCAGGGCCGCGCGCCAGACAGGAGGGACACCGGGGTGTTGAGGTGTTGAGGCGCGGGGGTTAGGTTTTAGGGTTTAGGGTTTGGGGTTTAGGGTTTGGGGTTTGGGGGTTTGGGGTCCAGGGTCTGGGAACTGCCCTAAACCCTAAGCCCTAGGCCCGAAACCCGGAACCTTAAACCCTACCCCTAAACCCTCCACCCTAAGTGGCTTTGGGTTGAGGCCCTTGAAGTGTTGGGACCTTTCTTCCGTATTCCCCTGCTTCTTCATATTCTGGAGATGATTTAAACAAGTAAGGTACCTTGAGTACTCTTGAGCGTTTCTTTGTTGAGTGTTTTTTGGCGGGGGAGTGGGAGGTCAGGGTTGAGGGGTTTGGAGTCAGGGCGTTGGATCCTTGGGGCGCACCCTAAACCTTAAACCCTAAACCCTAAACCCTGGGACCCTAAACCCTAAACCCTACACCCTAAACCCTAAACCCTAAACCCTAAACCCTACACCCTATATACACCCTACACCCTACACCCTAAACCCTAAACCCTAAACCCTAAACCCTACACCCTAAACAAGCCTTAAACCCTAAACCCTAAACCCTAAACCCTAAACCCGAAAACGTTGTTTCTTGAGCCGTGCTTTTGCACAGCTCCGGAGGTGTCACCTTGAGCCTGGTTGCCAAGATCGCTGCTTGTGTCACCCTCTAAATACCAGCACCCTAAACCTTAAACCCTAATCCCTAACCCTAAACCCTAAACCCTAAACAGGGATCCCGGGAGACCATCTGAAGAACCTCGGTGCGAAGTCTTTAGACGCGCGTGCCCGAAAAGCCATTGCAAGGTGGGGAAACCGGCAAGACAGATTTCGCTTGGGGCCTCAGAGATTGCGCGCGGACTCTTAGGGTTTAGGATTTAGGATTTAGGGTTTAGGGTTTAGGATTTAGGTTTTAGGGTTTAGGGTTTAGGGTTTAGCAGGCGCTGTTGCTTTTTTTAGCCCTTCGCCTCGGAGCTAGTCTTTGGACCCAAAGACTGCGACAACCTTCCTGCGCCTTCACTGAGCCAACGCCCCCAACCCGACATCCTAAACCCTAAGCCCTAAACCTTAAACCCTAAGCCCTAAACCCTAAACCCTAAACCCTAGACCCTAAACCCCAAACCCGAAACCCTAAACCCTAACCCGAAAGGGTAGTAAGTGTCTGCCAAGGAGGGCTTCCCACGTGGCAGTTCTCGATTCTGCCCCAGGCGATGCTTTCAGGGGGCACTGGAGCCTGATTCCACGGGTTTAGGGTTTAGGGTTTAGGGTTTAGGGTTTAGGGTTTAGGATTGACACTATCAAGGTTCATGCGTAGTTTGGGTCATAAGAACCCTCAATAGGGTTGTAACCACATAATATAGCTAGAGCCCATGCACAAAGCTTGGGTGATTTGTGAGTCTCAGACTTGTGCAACCGGGGTCTGAAGTCATGAGGGGAGAATCCGCTACCATCTCAAGCGAAGCACAACTCAATGCCAAGTCTCAACTAAGCAGCTCGATGGCACGTGCACCCAATTAGAGGGGGCACGTGCACCCAATTAGAGGGGGTGTCGGAACAGCCTGAAATTCAGGCTCGTGCGTTTAGGGTTTAGGGTTGAGGGGTTGAGGGTTTAGGGTTCTTTAGAACTGGAGAAGGGTACCTTAGAGGCTCTTGAGGAACTAGTTCAGCCGCCATCAGTGCCCTGCAGGAGGCAAGTGTGGAGAGAGATCCCCTTTCGCCCGGTCCTTGTGGGTTCACTTGCTTTGAGGGTTCTGACTTATCTTGCAGGTAAAGCCCAGATGCAGGGCTCCTTGAGGGTGTTTATGGAGTATCAAGCTTCATTGTAGTAGCCCAAAAGCCTAGACAACCGTGCCAGAACACCAAGAAGCCAGCACGAAAACAGGGTGCTCAGCACATGTGTTGAACAGCTCTCTCACACCAAAGCTTGTTTGGACGTCTACTGCACCTGCTGGAGATTTTGTGCTTTCTGCCTCTTTGACCACTACTCTCCTGGGCATTCTCTTAAAAACGCAAAGGATCCCTGTCTCAACCTTATCTCCTTCATTTGCCTCGACTCATGCCGTTGCCTTTGTCTTTCATGGCTAGGATTTCTCCCAGAGCCCCTGCAAGACCACCACAACGTCGAAATGCACCCCGCAAAAATCCTCCAGCACTCCAGGACCGCTTGAAGAAACCACTTCAAGACCATGCCGGAACTACTGCAAGACCACAGCAAGCTCAACTCCCCCCTGAACGACTTCCGACACGTGAAGCCAACCCATCCAATAGCAAAACGCGCGGAGAGAAGAGTGCATTCAAGAATGGTGCAAGCCCCAGAAAGCGCCCGGACCTGGACGGGAGCACGATTTCGAGGGTTTAGAGTTTAGGGTTTAGGGTGTAGGGTGTAGGGTTTAGGGTTTAGGGTTTACGGTTTAGGGTGAGTACGGAATTACAGGGGACCTCGGCCGGAGCGCGATTTGTTTCAATGTTTGCAGGGCCTGGAACATTGAGAGGACATCATGGGTTTCGAGGCTTCGTGAACACCTTGAAACCACGCCGTGCCCCAGGCTTTTCACTTACGTGGCCCTCTTCCACTTCAAGGTCCACAGGGCTTGAGGACTTTAGAGAGGGCGGAAGGGCTTTCCCACCCCTAAACCACCATAAACCCAACCCTAAACCCTAAGCCCTAAACCCGAAGCCCCAAACACTAAACCCTGAACTCTAAACCCTAAACCCTGAACCCCAAAGAAGGCGGCTGTGCCCCGCACCCGAGTTTGCTGTTTGTGGGTTCATAATCCCGACATCCCTGCCTTGAAAGGCTCCCCAGACCCCACCCTCGAAACCTCCCAACCCTCCGAAGACGGTTTCTTTTTGTGTCTAGGGTTTAGGGTTCAGGGTTTAGGGTTTACGGTTTTTACGTTTCACGGAGGTCAGGGCTGAGGTTTCTTGCGGATTGGAAAGCGCCGAAAAGGTGTTCTGCCATGAGCGCCGGCACACGGCAGACCGGTACAGCGGGGGCAAAGAGTGAGCCCCCCCCCCGCCGCAGCCAGAACGACTAGGCTCCTGCAGCAATGATCACTTGGGACGTTCCCCCTTATACGAATAGGGGTTCTAATAGGAGGTACTATAATTACTATAATCTCTTTTAAGGACTGTTAGTATAAGGTAGGAGGTACGATAATCTCTTTTAAGGACTGTTAGTATAAGGGGGGAACAGCGTAGTTGTCGAGTTAAGTGTGTTTTCTCGGGGCTTGGCTTCTCCGACTTCGGGGATTCAGCTTCGGCTCTAAGAGGCAGAGAGGGACACACACACTCACACTCACACTCAGACTCACACGCCTACCCACCCAGGCACGCAGGCAGGCAGGCAGGCATACACATACGTACCTGCAGATGCACAAGAATCTACATGGGGGAGATTTTGGCCCCGCTTCTTCACCCTATAAGCCCCAAACCTCAAACCCTAAACCCTAAGCCCTAAACCCCAAACCCTAGACCCTGAGCTCCCAGGTACTCCTGGGTCATCAAGCGACGCTTCTCGGACTTCCAGGCGTTGGACGCCGGGCTCCGGTACCTGCCGCCTCCCTGCCTTTCTGGGCGTGAGAGGGTTGAGGGTTTAGGGTTTCCTAAACCCACGGTTTAGGGTTTAGGGTTAGGGTTTAGGGTTTAGGGTTTAGGGTTTAGGGTTTAGGGTTGAGGCTTTAGGGTTTAAAGGGTTTAGGGCTACGGGCTTGGCCTTTAGGGTTTGGGTTTGAGGTTTGGCGTTTAGGGGGCCGAACAAAAGGAACGTATACCAAGAGGAACCTATACACCCTTGAAAAAGGTGGGGTCGGTTGCCTTGTTCATTTTTTGGGATATGTAGCTTGTAATTGCAAGCATCGCCAGTTCCTTTCATAAACTCGCACACCGTGTCGCAAGCCTTAATGAGTGGCGTACCCGGGGCGTTTGAAGTCCGATGGCCCGGTGTCAAGCCTCTTCTTGGGTATTTTACCCCCTGAGCCTCTGTCCGAGCCTTGTACTGTACTGAAACCCAGCACGGATGAGCCTCCTACCCGCGCATCCAACGTGTAGTGTCTAGCGAGCCTGCTGGCGTCCAAACAGTGCACGAACATGGTCTTGCCCTCAGAACTAGGAGCTCGTGATGCTCGTAGGCAGTGACGGCCTTCCCACAAGGAAGCTTATAGATGTAGAATGTGTAAATAAAGGAATAAGTAACTAAACTAAAAACTAAATGAATAAACATGTATATATATATGTACATGGATATTTCAAAAGGAAGAGGCAGAAGCCCATAAGGGACGCTCAGCCCAAAAGCCCGAATTCCCAAAACCCCCGCACCCTTAAACTCTTCAGCCACTGAATCCCTTCATTCCCCGCAGTCCTCCCCCCACCCCCCCCTCGACACCCGATGGTGGAAGCGGCCGCAGCGGCGGGAGCTGGGGCCAAAGCATGCCGTGATGCCGTGATGCAAGGGATTTCTCAGAAAGTTGCTCTGGATTGCAGGGCCCTTCGAAGCTTCTAGGCGTAATTTATAGCAGGGCTCCTTGTCACAAGAAGATCCCCCCCAAAAGGCCCACATATTGACAACCTCCGTGTGTTACCTCATGGGTTCGATTTCTTGTGGAGGTTAGTGAGTCATAAATGGGGTTGGAAGTCGGGCAGCTGTACTTATACTTGGATACTACCTATATGAGGTACTTGTCATACTCTTTTTGAAGCTACCCATGAACCTTCAAGCACCCCTAGGCGATGTTTGCCAGATGTGCTAGAACCTGTCTCTCTCTCACTCTCTCTCGCACTCAACACTAGACGCTCCCTAGACCCGACCGTGTGCCCGAGGCCTCGCCCCTTCTGTCGCACCTCGCGCGGGCCTGTGCCAGTGTTGGGGGCATTCCGGTGTTGCGGGGGGAAAGCGCCCAGGCAAAGCCACGAGCCGAGGCGTCCGAACTCCGGACCCTCCAGGCGTGATTGGACGTTGGTCTTGCATAGCGCATATGGGTTTTAGGGCTTAGGGTTTTGGGTTTAGGGTAACGTTATGAGTGCATAGGGCGTGAGGTTTAGATGGGTGATATAGAAGCGTCGGAGTTTTCTTTGTGAGGATGTTGAGGGCTTAAGGTTCAGGATCTTCGCGCCTATCGAGGATTGTCAAGCACCCTATTCTCGTCGACCCATTCCCGGCTAAAAAACCTCTATGGGAGGGATCAGGATGTCTGCATTTGTTTTAAGAAGCAGTTTTTGCTTTGCCTAAACCCTTCCTTGCGGCTGCTGGGTCTTTGGCTTACATCCGGTGCTGTGGCTTTCCCTAAGTACACGATGTTTTGTGCACTGCAGGCAAGGGTTGGCCAAGGTGGAACGGAAGCACGGGCCAGCGGTTTTGCTAAGCTTTCCTCCCAGGGGTGCCTGAAAACTACGCGATAACATGCGAATACGGTAGGTTAGGCCCGTTACTCAAATAACGTGTGTTTCAGGGTATCGGCTGCAACTGTGCTTGTGGTCACGGGTGAGGTATAGTGTGCCTCGCAGCAGTGACCTGGAGCCCCCACTCCTTTCCTGCAACTTTTGGCGGGGGCGATCAATTGCAACAGTTGAGAACTGTTTTCCTTCAAGAACTGAGGCAATAGAGGTTTTCTTTGCAAGGAAACGGGCCCTCGTGGAATCTGGGCACCCTCGAGGTTTCGGGCTCCAGGCTAAACCCTAAACCCTACACCCTCAGCCCAATCAGAGGGGACCAGGCAGTGTGGCATGGCGGCGAACGCAAGGGGATTCGGCAAGCCTACGGAGAACGTGGTTCTCTCTTTACAGAAACATACGTATGTGTATGTATGTATGTAGGTAGGTAGGTAGGTACGTAGGTAGGTAGGTATGTATGTATGTAGATATATATATATATATATGGTCACACCCCCCCCATGATCCATATGTATCCTTTTCTTGCTTGTCCTTCTGCACCTGTGCTTATTTGCACATATGGTTGATGTGAAAAAACACCGGTATTTACGATACTTTCGTGTCTTGCCATGTCTGAAGGTACAACTTGCCATTGATTATCTACACTTTTAAACAACAAAAATCTACAAACAGAATCCGTTTCTGGATTTGGTTTTGTGTGGTTTGCTAATCTCTGTTATTCACTCTATAGTAGCTTCCAATATACACCTTCTTGAACTTCAACAATATTCATTGATTAGATAAATATTACCTTATAAACCATTGTATAATGCATGAACATAAAAGAAGAGATGAAGGGGTTTCAAATAAAGCACCCAACACAAGAAGCAGACTACATAATGAAGTTAGAGACGAATTCGCAAAGACAGAGACATTCTTAACGGACACGCAAGGACTTAAATTAGCGTATGAGAATCCTGACGGGATGTATCAAAAATGGTTCTATTTTATACATTGCTGGGACTAAAAGCTGTAGAGATGTTTATGGTGATTGAAACCTTCCTTTATATAAGACGCAACTGACTCAGTGTTATAAAGATGTAGATAAGTTCATTCAAGATGGTTTTTTTGCAATAGACGGTTAAAGAAAAGAAGAAACTGGAATTTCTGGTATTGTAAGTCACAGTTTAGGTTCAGCATCGGGACAACAAATAAACAATGATTATGGGAATGTATTCAGAAGTCGTAGCTATGGTTCTCCTTATTTATCAGGACAACGACCAGAAGACACTGGGACAAAACATATGAATACGGAAAGTAGAAGACCCCGTTAGTATGTTTGAAAAAGGAAGTATAACATCAAAGACATCAACATTAGACCCTCTACAAAAACATCCTTATGAAGATATAGGCAATGTTAAAAACAAAGCAGGACATCTACCTATAACCGAAGAAGAGTTTTTAACAACAGTTTGATGCCATAATCATTTCATAAGAAAGCAACAACATACGAACAAATAGAGACATCGAAGATAGAGAAGCAATTTAAACAACATGCTTACGAAGAGATAAGAAAGTTAGTTGAGAATAATTAAGTAGATGAAGCAGTTAAGCAGGTGAAAGGTAGGAAGAAGAATAATAGTAAGACGCTTCATATAGTTTTGAATTACTTCATTGAATACAAGTTGAAGGTATGTATATGTAATCAAATTATCTATGCTATTTATATATCATGGAAACTTTTAGTCCCGCAGATATCCTCATTGACGTTTAAGACCAAAACGATTGTTGGATTTAAACCATTGCGTGGCCTCTTCTCACAAGTTAGATATTTGCCGTCAAAAAATATGGGAAACTTACCAATTGAAATAGAATTGGTAACTAATGCTACTAATTGTATCAATTACCGCAGTCAGAATGTCAAGAGATTTCGGGAAAACTCGAGCCGGCTCGAATTTTCCGAAAAATCTCCAGGCACCAGGTCACCACAACTCGAGCAGGCTCGAATTTTCCAAAAAAAACCTGCATTCTGTCATCTATGAGACCTTGGGGTCACACAGCCATGGTTTCAGCATATTTTTAGAAAATTCGAGCCGGCTCGAATTTTCCGAAAATTCTTGAAGCTCCAGGTCTCGAAAACTCGAGCAGGCTCGAATTTTCCAAAAAAAACCTAAATTATGTCATCTATGAGGCCTTGGGGTCACACAGCTATGGTTTCAGCATTTATTTTAGAAAACTCGAGCCGGCTCGAATTTTCCGAAAATTCTTGAAGCTCCAGGCAGTAGATTGCCGAAACACGACCAGGCTCGAATTTTCCAAAAAGAACCTAACTTTCAGGATCTACCGGGCTGCTGGAGCCATAGATCCTGAAATTTAGGTTTTTTTTGGAAAATTCGAGCCTGGTCGTGTTTCGGCAATCTTCTGTGTCAGTTTTTTTTGGAAAATTCGAGCCGGCTCGAATTTTCCTAAAATTCTTGAAGCTTTAGGTCTCGAAAACTCGAGCAGGCTCGAATGTTCCAAAAAAAACCGAACTTTCAGGATCTACCGGGCTGCTGGAGCCATAGATCCTGAAATTTAGGTTTTTTTTGGAAAATTCGAGCCTGCTCGTGTTTGGGCGACCTACTGTGTCAGTTTTTTTTGGAAAATTCGAGCCGGCTCGAGTTTTCTAAAAAAGCATGATTTTTTCGGGTATTTTTCTACCTTGTTGGTGTAAATGACCTGCCTGACTTGAAATGATATAGGTTTTTATCGGCCCTGTCGGTGTTTTTGTCGCTAGCTCATAGCCCCCTCTCCTCCCAAGATCCATCTGTTTCGAAGCAGAAACGTGGATCATGGGGGGGGGGGGGGGGGGGGCGTGAGCATATATATATATATATATGTAGAGCATACATGTACAGACATAGAGGTATCGATGCATAGATAGGTTTGTATATATACACATATGCTTATATACAACGGTATCAACGTTTGTGTCTGTACATGCATTCTGGGAACATGTGTCATGTGTCCGTCTCAGAAGCAGTTTGTACTGAGCAGGAGGCGACCGACCCGGCTTTGTGTTGCTGGGCTGCAACAGGCAGGGCGCCTCGAGCAAAAGCCTTTAGGGTTTAGGGTTTAGGGTTGCAAGGGGTTCCCCAGGTTCGCAGTGTTGCTGTACCCATGCTCAGCAACCAGAACTTTTCCACAATTGCGACTGATTGCTGCTTGCCCTTTCAGTCGCTCTCGAGCTGGACAGTTCTGTTTCGGACCGTTGTCAGAGTTTGCAAAGAATAGCCCAGACTACAGAGAAGCCTCCGGTTTGGGTACTGGAAACCCTCAACGCCCTAGACACCCTTTCTCACCCTGAATGCCCTAAACTCTCTAAAGCTTGCAATCAAGAAAGCCCTTACCCGCCCGCAGGGCTCGAGCAACGGGCGGCTGACGCGGAGCTGCTTCCGGCCGATGCGGCGCGTAGGGTTTTAGGGTTTTGGAGTTTTAGAGGTTTAGGATTTTAGGCGGAGGGTTGAGGGTGAAATGTCCAAAGCAACCCCCATATAGTTTGTGGGTTCGGAATTCCTACCCGAATCCCGGAGTGTAGGCTATGTAGGCTGGAATTGCAGGGTTTAGGGTGCCTACAGCCCCAAGAATGTGACAAGGCGGAGGTCCTCTCCAGATGCTTTGCCACGCTGGGAGGCTGCCGGGGTCTTGAAATTTGGTGGCGACTTGGACCTAGGACTGGGGGGGTTTAGGATTTAGGGTTTAGGGTTGAGGGTATGTGAGGGCACAAGCTTGGACGTTCTTTTGACACTGATCAGACTGCTCTGTCGTGTCTCGCACGTGTGGGTGTGTCTTGTGTGCGAACCTTCCCGGTGCCAGGTCGTGGGGGCCTCACAGAAGCCTGGTGCGAGGCCGGTCCCTGTAGAGCTACCTTGCACCTCAAAAAAGGGTAAACAGACCCCATGATTAAGGCACCCTTCCCTTTTTCAAGAGTGCATAATAGGAAGGTTTCTCTAGGCAGGTCTTAGTCTCTGCGGGTATACCCCTTTGGGGGGAGGTTGTGGGGACCCTATGCCGTTATGCCACGTCCCAGCCCTAAACCCTAAGCCCTAGCCCTAAACCCTAAACCCTAAACCCTAAACCCTAAACCCGATACCCTAAACTTGGGGCAAGGACCTCATGCGCTCGATATCCCGCTTTCACGCCCGTTCGCACTCACCTCCCGCGCCAGGCCGCTGCACCTGTACTGGCAGTTGGGGCCCTGTGTGGTTTTGCCGGTTTAGGGTTTAGGGTTTAGGGATTTTAGGTTTAGGGTTTAGGGTTTCGGGTTTAGGGTTTAGGGATTTAGGTTCTGTGGGATTGTTGGTGTGAATGGTGCCATGGGATCTACAGCCTGGACTTCAGAATCGCAATGCCTAACGTCATCCAGGCAGTCGCTTGACCTTTTAGGGTTTAGGGTTTAGGGTTTAGGGTCCTGTTCAGGAGAACGTTGTTGCTGCGCGTCTCGGTTCTCACGCTGGGACTGCTCTGCGTGCAACTCTCGCCTAGCAGTCCCAAGAACCATGGCGCAATCGTTTTAGAGGTTAGTCGTCGCGACTGCCTCCGTTACTTGCCTTCGAGCGCCTAGCGAGGCACTCGCCCACCTGCTGCGGGCACGTGAAGGGGCCCCCTGCCTCAGAAGCCAGTCTCGTCACATCTGGGGTTCTCCGAAATCTGGGGGTACCTTTTTTGGGGGTCCTTTATGATAAGGGATCCCTGAGTTGTCGTAAAGTCCCATCCGTTCACAGCAAAATCCAAGGAACCAGCGAGTTGGGCCATGTTGCACCTGTACGTTGCAGGTTAGGTTGAACAGACCTCCACGGAATGGGGGGGGGGGGGCGGTTTAGGGTTTAGGGTTTAGGGTTTTTAGGGTGTGTCACTCACCCAGGACCGCCAGCGCCTGCGTGAGTCCTTGGTCAGTGAGGCCAGTCTTAGTGCTTTTTACTCAATTGGACCCTCAGTCCCATACCTGGACCCAGTTAGAAACCTACTGCCTTCATACCCTCATCCTGTACCTCATACACTCATGCCCTCATGCCCTCATACCCTCATACCCTCATGCCTTCATGCCCTCATACCCTCATGTACCCTCATGTACCCTCATATACCCTCATATCCCCTCATATACCCTCATATACCCTCATATACCCTCATATACCCTCATATACCCTCATATACCCTCATATACCCTCATATACCCTCATATACCCTCATGCCCTAACACCCTCATGCCCTAACACCCTCATATACCTTCATACCCCAACACCCTCAACCCTTCACAGCATGTTCGAAAGCCTCAAACATCAAAATCGCACTGGCGCGAGGCCTCCTCTGGAGGGCTTGTCTGGCCCGGGGCCTCACATCTCTTTCTTCCAGTCCCGGAGCTCTAAAAGCCAAAAAAGACCTCAAAACCTTGTTTTCAGGGACCTAGAGATTCATTTTATAACATAAAAAAAAGTGTCGTTTTCAAGACGTGTGCCCTAGTTGACGTAGAGCACCTACCTGGGTTGCACCGGGGGGGTCGCCATTTACCAGAACAAGGGAGCCTTAATATAGACTTCAAATAGTAGGATTCCCTTGTAACAAGGACCCCCGCACTGAACTCGGATCTCGTGGTGGAGGCTTTGCCTGTAGAGGGACAAGCAGAAGCAAGTCACCAAAACAGAGCCGGAGCACAGGTGTCTTTAGAGCATGGCATCGCTCCTTTCCTCCCCAAAAGTCCATCGGCCTTTTTGGTTTTGCGGGCCTTGTGTCCCCCCCCCCCCCCCCCCCCCCCCCAAACCAGCCCCAAGCCCTGACCCCAAACCCCAAACCCCAAACCCTAAACCCGAAACCCTAAACCCTAAACCCTAAAAACCCAAACCTAAACCCCTAAAACCCTAAAACCCTAAACCCTAACCCTAAACCCTAAACCCCTAAACCCCTAAACCCCCTAAACCCCTACCCCTAAACCCTAAACCCCCTAAACCCCTAAACCCCTAAACCCCTAAACCCCTAAACCCCTAAACCCACCCCTAACCCCTAACCCCTAAACCCCTAAACCCCTAAAACCCTAAACCCTAAACCCCTAAACCCCTAAACCCCTAAACCCCTAAACCCCTAAACCCTAAACCCTAAACCCCTAAACCCTAAACCCCTAAACCCTAAACCCTAAACCCTAAACCCTAAACCCTAAACCCTAAACCCTAAACCCTAAACCCTAACCCTAAACCCTAAACCCAAGGCTGCAGAAGTTCCTCGAGCTGATGGCGCTCCCAGCCGAGCTCCCAAGGAAAGCTTCCAGGGAGCCCAGGGCCCCTTAAGGAATCTACCTCTCAAGGTCGATTCTTGCACTTCTTTTTTTTAAACGGGTTTGGGGTTTAGGGTTTAGGGTTTAGGGTTTTTAAACGTATACTTAATCATCTTTGTATTATTATAGTTATTATCATTATTCGTATGATTATTCTTATTACAATTGTTCGTCCTACTCTTATTCTTCTAATTTTTCTTATTACTATTACAGTGCTCGTGTGTGTGTGTGTGTGTGTGTGTGTGTTTTTACACTTTGTATTTCGGTTTCAGGGTCTATTCCTTTATTAAGGGTGGGGGAGGGAGTCCGGGAGTTTGGGGACGCGTTTGGAGGGGGGGTTTAGGAGCTTGGGAACGCTTGGGGTTAGGGGGTTTGAGAGCTGTCCACAAAGAGGCTGTGACGGTGAACTCCGAGGGTTTAGGGTTTAGGGTTTAGGGTTTAGGGTTTAGGGTTTAGGGTTTAGGGTCAACCTGTAAACCCCTAGTTCCAAAACTCTAAACCAGCAGTTTGGGCTCCCTGAGTTTCAAGCGCAGTTACCTGGCCGTTTAAAAGGGCGTAGTATGTTGACGTTTTTTCAGGTTTGGGGAGGCTTTTGATTTCCTGTTTTGCTTTTTTGGTTGGGGCTACACCGGTTTAGGGTTAAGGGTTTCGGGTTTAGGGTTTAGGGTTTAGGGCTACAAAGATGTTCTTTTGACTGTGAGGCAGATGGGGGCTGGATCAGGATATTGGGCTTTCTCTGGGACTCCAAAACTCCACGTTCCTTCGAGTTTAGGATTCAAAAAACACCAACTGAACCCTAAACCCTATATCCTAAACCCTACATCCTACACCCTAAACCCTAAACCCTAAACCCTAAACCCTAAACTCTAAACCCTAAACCCTAAACCCTAAACCCTAAACCCAAAACCCTGAACCCTGAACCTTGAACCCTAAACCCTAAACCTAAACCCTAAACCCTAAACCCCAAACGCTAGACCCTATCATAAACCCTAAACCCTGAAGAGGGATAGATTTTCGAGCATGCTGAGGCGCCATTTGGTGCGGCGGAGGCTGCTGCTTGTGAGGCAAGTTGAGCTTTGCCATTTTTGGTCGGCGTGGGTGCTTGGGGCGCATAGGGGTTTCATGTTTAGGGTTTAGGGACGAGGGTTTAGGGTTTAGGGTTTAGGGTTTTAGGGATTGGGGGGCGCGAGCAAAGTTGCTCAGTTCTGGTGGTCCCCGCATCCATAGAATGTAGTTGGAGTGCAGGGTCGTTCCCGCGCGCGCAGTTCTCTGCTAATTTGCATTAGTTTTTGATGGTTTTTTTACTCGGGTTTTCAGGGTTTTTGAGGTTTGGGTTTGGGGCTTTTTTTGGGGGGTAAAGGGGATGTAAGTCTTTTTGGAGTGGCTTCGGGAGAAGGCGTGTATGTTTCCAGCGCTTTTCGTCCGGCTCATTGATTGGACCGTGTATGTTTTTTGGTCGTCATTTTCCATTCCGGGATTGGAAGGAATCTTGAAACATGCAAAGCTCTGCACAATCAGTAGCCATCCTCCAAGTAAGCTATGCAGATGAGGTAATGACTTGTCTAGGCTTTGCTTCTGCTTGTTCCTTAGTTGCGCCATGCTGGATGCGCAGTCGCAGATGTGCGATCAGGAAGAGAGCAGGAGGAGGGGCCAGACAGCTTTGGAAGTGGTGAAGCGTTGTTCGAGCAATGCTCAGTTGTGGAATTATTTCGCACATCATCCTGAAGTGCGGAAGTGGCTTGAGAAGCTAATGGTTGAAGAGGTGAGACGTGAGGAGGGACATGGAGCTTTCTCGCAAATCTTGACCACCATCAGCGCTGAGCTAGCTGAGCTTGAGCGCAGCAGCAACGTCTCCCTCCCCGAGCAGCTTCACCACCTCGCCCACCTCAAGCAAGAGGCACCTGAATCTGCATGGCCTCCGAGAGTCAAGAAGCGCCTGCGCTTCAAACAAGGTCCACAAAGCATTTGGATGAGGAGGGGGGTTGGTGCTTTGAGCATGAACCTTATGGCCAAGGTTCTGTGTTCAGTGGACCTCTCCACAAAGCTGTCAGCCATCTGCGTCTCTCGTGGTTTTTGGGAAGTCCTGCAGTGTGGTTCTGCCTGGGATCCGCTAGTGATCACTCAGTCAGAATGTCGGAGGCTGTTGAAATCTCACCGGGCAACACGGTCTTTACCCGAGTGGGGCTTTCCGCCGGCATTTTATGAGGTTTCGGTGATGGATGTGGATTTGATGAGCCCGGAAGAAGACCCTTCTGGCCAAAGCGACACAGAGGATGAGGAGCAACAAAGGATGCAAAGGATCAGAGCTCCTGTGGGCACTTTTGTCAACCTCTTTGGTTCTTGGACGAAGGTGTCCAAACTGACCGTGAGGAACATCGATAGTTTTTCATACACACTTCTGTTGTCTCGCATTCGCTGCACTTGCTTGGAATCCTTTGGCTTTGTAAGAATCCAATACACTGGGAGCAGTACATACAGCCTGGAGGCCGCGAGGCGGGAACCTCTGCTGGTGGACCCGACGTTGGTGGCCGCCATGAACGCTGCAAGAATGCCACATACTGTTCAAGTCCAGAGCACGACAATTTCAGAACGTGAAGCCCTTTTCTTGCTGGAACATGAGACAGCCTACAAGAATGGAAGCGACATTCACTTCATGTATACTAATGACACCCGGCGCTCCCATGCCATTCGTGTGGAATACAAGAGCCTGGTGGACTCTTTGAAAGTGCGCTTTCCAAGTAGTTTCAGGTAGTTTGCCAGGGGGCACTACTGTGGCTTTCTTGAGCTGCTTCAGCAAGAAAGCGTGACTTGTTGTGACTGATACTTCTGACGGCGCACTCGAAGATCCTAATTCTACAGCTTCCTGAATTCAAATGGGTATTTCTCAATAAACCCCCTATATAATCTCTTAGGGGGTCTTAAAGTCCCCTCATAACCCTTCTTTACCCCTTGGGTCCCTAAAGGGGCTCCCGTTCTGAGAAACTCCCAATTCTATAAGCCCCCCCCAAACCCTTTTGAGAAGCCATCAACCCAGAATCCGACAAGCAAGGGGCGCAGGGTTTCAAAGCAGTAAACCCTAAACCCTAAACCCTAAACCCTAAACCCTAAACCCTAAACCCTAAACCCTAAACCCTAAACCCTAAACCTCAGAGGCTGCTCCGTGTGCCAGGTCTAGGAGCTTTTATTGCATCTCAAGGATTGGACGCTTTCGTGGTCTAGGGTTTGGAAAATGTTTGGAGGCTCTGGGGCGCGTAAGCCCCATCCTAAACCCAACCTGGAGCTCCAATTACGGCTGAATGACGGCGCTTAACCGAGTAACTTCCAGACTGACAGGGCGTTCATGGTAGAAATCAACCAACACAGAACAGCCTGGAGTGCCTGGGATGCCCTAAATGGTTTAGGGTTTAGGGTTTTCCCTCCTAAATCCCTTCAGCTTGACCAGGTCGCCGCCACGGTCAGCATTCATCTCAGGTTTAAGTATGGGGGCCCCGGGGATGGGCCCTTAATTTGAGAGGCCCTATATACCTCATATATACCCCATACATGGTTCCGTGTCGCCGTGTCGGTGGGCCCCCCCATGGTACCCCCCCCCCCCCCAAAGGTATGAGTTTCGACTTAAGCCCTCAACCAGACGCCTAAGCCCTCCTCCCTGAACACTACAACCCGTAGCCCTAAAACCAACCTACAACCACGCCAGGGGAGGGGGGGAGGGGGGGGCGGTGGGGGGAATGCCCTAAACCCTGAACCCAAAACCAGCCCAATGCAGATGCAGCATAGGCAATCAGCGGCACTCGCATGAGGAAGATGCCCTATGAACCTTCAACCTTATTAGCCCCAAAAACTCTACTTACTTATGACCCTCCATGAACCTTTAAGTCATTCCTTCCGAAGAAGAGGTGCTGGAGCTCACTTGCCGGGGGGACGAGGCAGGGTTAAGGGGTGTGTCTCAACTCGCCCTCAAAATGGGAATCCCAAGATCCAACGGCCATGAAGTAGTCAAAAGTGCACTCCTCTCTTCTTTGTTCATTTTTTTTTGGGGGGGGGGGGGGGGGGGGGTACCTCAATATATATATATATAATATCCTTGCTGAGGAAGGTTTTGGCGGATAGGAGCTCAAGGCTGCATGCTGTTAGCATGTCCTACATATCTGGCATGCCTATGCTGTTCGTGCCGGGTGGGCCGTTTGCTTGACAAGACGTGTCAGTTGGGATGCTCCCCCTTCTGCTGACAGTCCTTCAAAGGAATATCATATGGGGTACTGAAAGCCCTATTAAGGACTGTTAGTAAGGGGGAACATCCCAAGAACCCTAAACCCTAAACCCTAAACCCTAAACCCTGAACCCTAAACCCTAAACCCTAAACCCTAAACCCTAAACCCTAAACCCTAAACCCTAAACCCTAAACCCTAAACCCTAAACCCTAAACCCTAAACCCTAAACCCTAAACCCTAAACCCTAAACCCATCCCAATGTATCAGTGTCAGATGGTCTCTTCGTGCAGGAGTTCGTGACTGTCCTTCACCGCCACCATCTTCTGACGGTGGCTCGGGGCCTCAGCCTGCGGATGGCTTAGGGTGTAGGGTTTAGGGTTTAGGGTTTAGGCAGCTGTCATCCAGCCAAATCCTACACGCTGCGCGCCCCGTCGGGCAGATTCCCCAAGCCACAGAAGGGTCGCTTCATACCATGTGCCCCAAAACGAGCGACAAGCGCACCTTCGTGCCCTAAACCCTAAACCCTAAACCCTAAACCCTAAACCCTAAAACCTACACCCTAAACCCTAAACCCTAAACCCTAAACCCTAGTAGGTCATGCCGAGGAACCACGGAAAACTCAGCCAAGGGTGCAACGGAAACATCTCTGACACCTCACGGCCGAGGCCGAGGCGAATACTTGGGCCCTTATCATCCTCATAGCATATACACATGTACATATAATGCAAGCTCCTCAGAATACCCTGAACCCTAAACTAACCTGCCCAAAAAAGCATTCATGGCAACTAGATGCCCTCTGTGGGTACTTGGGGGGGGGGGGGGGGGGACCCTCAAAAATCCTCAACACCCAAAACTGCCCAACCACCCTAAACCCTAAGCCTCACCAGGATTTCTAGAAGGCCTGAAAAACCCTAAACCCTAAACCCTAAACCCTAAACCCTGAACCCTGAAGTCCCAGAAGCCAGCTGAGGGCCCTTGCGAAAAGTCGGAGCGGAGCAGCTGAGGTGAGCCACCGACTGCTGGCAACCGCCAGACAAGAGGTAAGAAGGGGTTTTGAGGCTTTTTCGGTTTAGGGTCTTAGGGTTCAGGGTTTAGGGTCTAAGGGTCTTAGGGTCTTAGGGTCTTAGGGTCTTAGGGTTTAGGGTCTTAGGGTCTTAGGGTTTAGGGTGTAGGTTCTTCGGTGCAAGATGCCCGCTGGAGTTGAGCTTAATTCCCCCCGGTGCTTAGTAGGGAGTGAGGGAATGACGTGTCTTTATATCCCTCTATATTTGCCCAGCTCAATTTCAGATACCTTTTTCTCCCCCTATATATACCCTGCAAGGGATCGCATAGGGCAACAGGCCCTTTCGAAGCCTAGGCGGGAGGGAGGGCCGGAGAAGCCCTGAAGAGTTCTCACTAACCATTCTCGGGCGGTTTGTTTTTTAAGCACTAGGCTTCGCCGCTCTCCCTTTCAGGAGGTCCCTGTTAGAGTAACATCACATGGGTGGTTGTCAAAATGATGGTCCCTTCTGGGGGTCCCTCATAGAATACGGCACCGCACCTAATATTTAGGGTGTCCAAAAAGGGGCCCTACTTTTGACAACTACACACATGACATGGACTTAGGGTGACCAGGGACTCGAGTTGAGACAACCAGAGCCGAGTTCAACGTGGAGTTTAGGGATGGGATGTTCCCCCTTATAGTAACAGCTCCTTGAAAGAGGCACTATTGTAGGGGGTTGCTACAATCCCTATTAGGGGCCGCCGGCTCCCGAAGCTGCATTCTGCCAGGCAGCTGCGACTCCCGGTTGGCGACACTTCGCCACGTTCGGGGCACGCGCTGGGGTTGGTCTTCAGGGACCTACAGAACGCACAGTAGCTTCCATGAAGTGGCCTTAAGAAGGAGCTTAGTATGGGACTACGTAGTATGTAGTTTCCAGACGAGGGTGGTGGGATGTTGAGCAGTAGTCAGTAGAGAGCGTAAGAAGACGAGGAATTGGACCTTGCCCCACACTCAAAATCCGAACTGCTGAAGCACTAGCGATCGACTCAAAGGACTTCTTTGTTCCAGCTCAGGGTTTCGGGCTTAGGGTTTACGTAGTAATCTTGTGCCTTACAAAATGGTTAGGGTTTAGTTAGGGTTTAGGGCCTAGGGTTTAGGGTTTAGTTCGCCTACCCAATAAATTAGGGCTTATTCAGGTAGGACGAAGGTTCGACCCACGACCAAGACATCAGCACACACAGGCAAGCATGGGCAAGGCCAAGCCTCCATCGCCCTTTGACTCCTAGCAGGACTCCCCCCTTTTCAAAATCGTAATGTATCTTCCTTAGGGTGGTTTTTTTAACGTTAAAAAACCTTAAATAGTAATGTATCTTCGTTAGGGTGGATGAAGATCTGCGCGCTGGCGCAGGATAAGTTAAAATCCACATGTTTTCGCGACTCCGCGACTCCGCAAGATGTTCATGTCTGGGTAGCTCGAAACTTTAGTCCTGTCCATGTATAGAGTAATCTTGTGCCTAAACCCTAAACCCTAAACCCTAAACCCTAAACCCTAAACCCTAAACCCTAAACCCTAAACCCTAAACCCTAAACCCTAAACCCTAAACCCTAAACCCTAAACCCTAAACCCTAAACCCTAAAACTAAACCCTAAACCCTAAACCCTAAACCCTAAACCCTAAACCCTAAACCCTAAACCCTAAACCCTAAACCCTAAACCCTAAACCCTAAACCCTAAACCCTAAACCCTAAACCCTAAACCCTAAACCCTAAACCCTAAACCCTATTCGTCTACCCAAATAATGTTCAAAGGGGGAGCTGACATGGGAGACTTGGAGTGCAGAGAGAGGTCCTGAGAGGCCTGGCGCGCCAGACTTTTAATATTGGGGTCGGAATAATTACTACTCGTAATATTATTCCCTTATGGTCCCTTTATACCTAGACTGTAATAACCCCCCAAAACGCTGTTCTAATTATTAAGGCTCCTACAGCAGGCTTAGGGTGTAGGCGTTTCGGGCTTGGGGTTGAGGACCTGCAGCTGCCGTTGGCGCAGGTGAAGGTACATCTTGTTCTGAGGGTTTAGGGATGTTTAGGGTTTAGGGTTTAGGGTTTAGGGTGACGCTAGGTAAGGTTCAGGTGTATGGGCTTGAAGCCCTACTTCCGAAAACCTGAGAAGAAACTTGAAAGTGCACACCCCTGAGCCCTAAACCCTAAAACCAAAACCAAAATTCAACCCTAAACCCTAAACCCTAAACCCTAAACCCTAAACCCTAAACCCTAAACCTTAAACCCTAAACCCAAAACCCGAAACCCTAAACCCTGAACCGTAAACCTTAACGCACCCTCTGTGCACTCTGACAGGTACGCCTCCTCGAAGTGCTCATGGCAGAGGAGGACCATGGCAATCCATGGTTCGGGGGTTTCAGGGGTTTCAGGGGTTTAGGGTTTTAGGGTTTAGGGTTTAGGGTTTAGGGCTCAGGGGTGTGGGGGTTCAGGGGTTTTTGGGCTTTGGGTACTGAGGGGTTCAGGGATGTGGGGTTTCAGGGCTTAGGGTGTTTACGGGCTAGAGGGTTCAGGGTATCAAGCCGGGGGCTTGGGGTTGAGGGGGTTCAGGATTTTCTTGGAGGTTCATGGGTCTTTATAGCTGGTTTTCACCGTTTTTGTGGGTTATTATGCCCTACCGACGACGAGTCATGAAGCTTCAAGTACGGTGGCTTTTGCGCTTTTTGGGCTCGGGTTGGGTACTGGGATCGTACTACGCTGGGCTGCGTACCACGTGTACCTCCCCCCCCCCTCTCCCGTTTTTTCGCCCCGAGCACTTTCCATGAGAGAGCCCGAAGCCCGAATGGTCTTCATCGGAGCGCAAGCTTCGAGGCTCCCGAGCCCAGTTTTTTGTGGCGGAATGTGGGGGGAGGATGCCCGTGGAGCCTCGCTCTACAGAGTCTACGCAGGCCCAAGCCCAGCAAGACTCTCCACTTGGAAACCCTACACTCTACACCGTAAACCCTAAACCCTCAACCCTAAACCCTAAACCCTAATTTTCACTCCCGGAGCCCTGCAAGACGAGGACACGCAACGTTTTCAGCTGGCGGACCCCGGGCTCTTCAAGCCTGTGTGGGCCTGCCCCCTCCTCATATGAGGGATTTCCGGAAAAAATTTGTGGTACGCTTTTTTTTTGGGGGGGGTTCCAATCATAAGGATTCAATTACTTTGGGGGGCATATTCAGGGTACCCCTATCTACATTGGAGTTTATGCAAGGTTTTATTCCATGCAGTTTTGGGCTCGAGAGGCTCCGGGGGTGCGGGAGTTCGAGGATCGGTTGCCCGGTGCCACAAAGCCCTCCGAGTCCCCAGTGGTCTTAGTGGTCTTAGTGGTTTAGGGTTTAGGGTTTAGGGTTTCGGGTTTAGGGTTTAGGGTTTAGGGTTTAGGGGAAGCAGGGTTGGTTATGGGGATCCCACAAGGGTGCCGTCTTCTGTATATAGGACTACTTGGAGAGCCCACTTATAAGCCCCTTAAGTGCCCCAATATGGCTATAAGTACAGCTACCAAGTACAGTTTCAACTTGGGTAGTAGGTACCATGAACCTCCAAGGTTAAGCTTCCGAGATCTACCCTGAAGCATGTGGCTGAGGCCGCGAGAGGCCCGAGGTCACACGCCAGGCACTTCTGGCGATGCTACCCAGAGAGGAGGCCCCCGAGCTGCAGCATCCGAATATAGGGGTCGGAAGAATTACTACGAATATTGCCCTTAGGGTCCCTTTAACGCTATTCTAATTATTCAGGCCCCTATAGTACCTGAGTTCTCATGATCAGTTCTCTGCTGTTGATGCCCTTGTTTCTTTTTTCACCCGCTGTTTGGGGGGGTCGTCTTGTAATAGGGGCCCCTAGAAGAGACCATACGTGTTTGGGACTTGGGCTGGGCTATGGGAACTTTTGATTCGTGAGGTGAACTTCTGCAACTGATGCCGCTGCCCCCCCCCCCCCCCAAAAGCTGTAAACGGCCGGGGTTCGGAGGGATCTCTACATGTATGAGCCCTACACTACTAAGTACAAGTAGAATAAATGAGCAGTAGCTGCCAAGCTGAAGCTGGTCGTTCATTTTGCCTTCTGGTGAATGGCAAGGCGGACAGTGAACTAAACCCTAAACCTCATCCCTAAACCCTAAACCCTAAGCCCTAAACCCTAAACCCTAAACCCTAAACCCTAAACCCTAAACCCTAAATCCTAATCCCTAAACCCTAAACCCTAAACCCTAAACCCTAAACCCTAAGCCCTAAACCCTAAACCCTAAGCCCTAAGCCCTAAACCCTGAACCCTCTTCGGGGACGGTTGCCAAACCCGACGCCCTAAACTTGGGGATGTTCCCCCCTTCTACGAACAGCCCTTCACAGGGATTCTAATCGGGGGGGATTAGAATCCTTATTACGGGCTGTCGGTATAAGGGGGTACGATACCCCCGTCATGTTGCTGGACACTGAACTCTGCACCCCCCTCCCCTAGACCCTAAACCCTTAAACCCTGGAGGGTTTAGGGTTTAGGGTTTAGGGTTTAGGGTTTAGTGTTTAGGTCCCTCCCCCAAAATGTTGCATCCTGAGTGTTCGGAGCATTTGGGAGGCCCTGGGCGGTGCATCCCCGCCCCGAGCTGAGTGGGTTGCTGCCCCCAAACATCCCTAAACCCTAAACCCTGAACGCTAAACCCCCCTCTGAGGAGTTTTGCGCCTAGAAAAAGTCCGCAACACCCAACAAAACAGCCATGACTTAGAAGAACCTCGGCGTGCCCCCTCCGCCTCCCCCTCCGCCCCTCCCGAGAGAGAGAAGAGAAGGCGTCAGCAGAATTGGTGTCGCGTGGCTTTTGTCTGTCGAAAGCTGCGTGCCCTGAATATGTCCCCTTGCCTCCTTTTAACTATTGTTTCCTTAAGAACCCCAAAAGAATAAAGGGTCACAATCCCTATATTGCCCTTATATAAGGAAGAACATTTTTTGTTTTTTGATGGGGTTCTGAAGCAATCAGTAGTTAAGGGCCGTAGCTACCCTGAGAGTCCGCTGTTTCTGAGATACGGACGGCCGACATCTCACAGAGACTCAGGAGTGCACGCAACAGGCGGCAGGGACGCCCACCCCCAAGCCCCAAGCCCCAAGCCCCAAGCCCCAAACCCAAAACCCTAAACCCCAAACCCTAAACCCTAAACCCTAAATCACACCCCAAGGTTGGAGATCGGTGCACTCTCCGCCCTTGGCCAGCTCGCACGGCGCAGCGAAGAGCAGGCGAGGGTGAGGGTGTTGCAGTGACCCCTGAAAGGTTTAAGGCACCCTTTAAACCCTTGTTACGTCGGGTTTAGGGTTTAGGGTTTAGGGTTTGGGGTTTAGGGTTTAGGCTTTAGGGCTTTAGGGCTTTGGGGCTTTGGGGCCTTTTAGGGGATCCCTTTTAGGGGGCCTTGTTTGGGGGCCTCTTAGGGTCGTTTAGGGCCTTTAGGGGCTTTTAGGGCCTTTGAAAACCTTTAGGGTGAGGGCCATCCTGCTGCTTTTTTGCAGGGGTTTGCCCCATCTCTGAGCCCTCAACTCTCAACCCTAAACTCAGCCCTAAACCCCTGAAGCCCAAACCCCCTAGCTCAAAAACCTGCAGCCTTAAAAACCCTGAGCCCCAAACACCTAAGCCTTAAAACCTAAGCCTTTCACCCTACTCCCGAAACCCAAACCCCTAAATCCTAACCCTTAAACTCTAACCCACCCCCTCAACGAGACACCACGAGACGTTTTGATCAGGCGCGCCTGATCGCACGATCGCCCGCGCTGCAGCAAAGCCACCGGGATGGCAACATCTCGAACTCGGAGCAATCAACCGAAGAAATACTTAAACATACCCCTTGGGCATACCCCTTGCAAGAAATGAAGGGGTATGGTAAAGTCCTTTTGTTATATTCTCCTTCTTAGTCTCGCAGAGTTTAGGGGGTGGGGCTTAGGGGATTTTTGGGATTCTTTGTTTAGATTTTTGGGATTCTTGGCATTTTTTTGTTGGGTTTTTGGGATTCTTGGGATTTGTTTGGATTTGTTTGGGTTTTTTGGATTTTTGGGGTTCCTGGGTTTTTTTTTGGATTTTTGGGCTCTTGGGTTTTTGGGTGTGATTTTTGAGATTTTGGGATTTCAAGGATTTTTGGGATTTTGGTTCGGGTGTGGTTCAAGGAGGCTCAGGGTTTTTGGGGAAAACCCTCCCAAGCCCTAAGCCCTAAGCAGTTTAGGCTTCTCATCCCAACAGGCTTCAAGACGCCATATGGGTAGTTCTCTAAATTAGGGTCTTTTTTGGGGGGGTCCTTGTTATAAGGTGCCGCGGACCCAAACAGGGACCCCTAAGTTGCATATACGCTCAAACCCTGCAACCCCAAGTCGTGAGCCCTAAACTCTCAAGCGTTTTGATGCCCGAAAAGCCTCCACACCCAACACCCTACTACCCCAAAAGCCTGCCGGTTCGGCCAACAAGAGGCCCGAACTCCGAACCTCAGTGAGTGCTTGAGAGGTTTAAAAATCCTTGACCGCTGTGCTTGCGACGAGGTGCGAGGGTTCGGGGTTAATAGGGCTTCTGGGGTTCATAGGCTTTATAGGTCTCTTCGGGTTTGTGGGTATTTTGTAGGGCTCATAGGGCTTATAGGGCTTAAAGGATTCTTAGGGTTAGGGTTTAAGTGGGTGTTTAACCCCTAACCCCTAACCCCTAGCCCCTAAACCCTAAACCCTAAACCCTAAATCCTAGACCCTATACCCTAAACCCTAAACCCTCAATCCCAAACCCTAAAGGATCTTGGAGGCCAAAGCTTGATACGCCAAGTCCCTAAGCCCCTGAGAAGTTGCAGCCCGAGGAAACATGATTGGCGGTTTTATCTAGAGTGTAGGCCCTTTCTAAATGTAACTAGGACAGTAAACCCTAAACCCTAAACACCCTAAGCCCGAAATTTGACTAGTACAGAATGTTCCTCGGAGTTTGGCATGATTGGGGTTTCGAGCTTAGGGCCCTTTCTGGGTTTCTAGTAGAGTCTTTTCCTCATAGTTCGGGCTACCAAGAAGGGCTTGGAATTGAGATCAGGCTCACCCAAATATGGGCTCTTCAGAACTGAGTCTATCACGTAAGACACTTGGTAAAGGCACACCGCTGGGGTTGATTACATGCAGCGGCTTGCCGCGAAGCACCCCTGAATACCATGGCCTCCCAACCCACAAGGCATTGAGTTGTGAGTCCGTAGATATCCCTGAGACCCAGCCCCAACCCCGTCAAGGAGTGACTAGACCCTTCATGCCGACGGTAGGTTTAAACATGGGGCTTTTGAGTTTGGTTTTGGGGTTGAGGGTTTATAAAACCCTAAACCCTAAACCCTAAACCCTAAACCCTAAACCCTAAACCCTAAACCCAAACGTTAAACTACTCTAAACTAAAGCAAAGTTTATGATTGCAAGGATGACCCTGTGAGGAGAAGGTCGTGGATGTGTTGCAGTTTCTGCAGCGCGTCCGAAGGTTCGTGCCGGAGGAGGCCAGCAGACCACAACGCTAAGACTGGACTCTGAGGATGTGAATTGGGATGCTCCCCCCTTATACTAACAGTCCTCAATGTTTAGGGTTTAGGGTTTAGGGTTCTAGTCCCGCCCCCCCTCCCCCAGTAGAATCCCCTATTCAGGACTGTTCGTATCAAGGGGGGAACATGGGGGAGCCTGGCTTCCTGTTTGTAGGTTTAGATGTTTAGATTTCTGAGACGTTTCGGGTTTCGGGTTGAAGGTTTAGGGTTGAGGGTTGAGGGTTAGGGTTTAGGGTTTAGGGTTTAGGGTTTAGGGTTTAGGGTTTAGGGTTTAGGGTTTTTGGGTTTAGGGTTTAGGGGCAGCTTCTTAGGTGCCAGGAAAGCTAGCAATCTAGGAGTCGCTCTGCGACGGATTGAAGCTGCTGGAAATAACGCGCTGCCTCTTTTGCAAGGCAGAGCCCCTTAAACCACCGAACCCCGTTGCCAGGGTTCGTGTGGCCGCACTTCTGAGCCCCTCCGAAGTCGTCTAAGTAGCTTAGAAGTAGACATACTCTTGGGTTTAGGGTTTAGGGTTTAGGGTTTAGGGTTGAGAACCTCCAACAATCGGCCTTAAAACGGGCCCCCACGGTGGTTGCGCCCGCAGCGGATCGGCTCATTGCCCGTCCGCATTCAATGTGCCGTGCACATGTCAAGCATGTCTCAGCACGGCCAGGCCAGGGTTTAGGGTTTAGGGTTTAGGGTTTAGGGTTTAGGGTTTAGGGTTTTCAGGGTTTTCGGGGTTTTCAGTGTTTTCAAGGTTTGGGGACTAGAGTCCAGGGACTAGGGTCTAGGGTCTAGGGTCTCGAGGTCAGGAAGGGGTTCTACACTGAGGGTTAGGGTACTTTAGGGTAGGAAGTAGCAAAAGGTGTCCTATGACGATTTGGGGGCTTAGGGTTTAGGGAGTTCCTCCCTTAATTCAGACCTGAGCATCCCTCAACTAGAGGCCCCCCAAAAATCTCGCATGTAACAAGTGGGAGCTGGCTGTCAATGTCAATAGCTGACCCAGAATACAGACCCCCCCCCTAACTATCGTAAACCCCCGTATATACCTTGTCTAGCATCCAGCAGGGTGGCTAAACCCTAAGAGCGTGGT